TATATCTAGTTATTTCCTGAAATTAAAACAATAGAAATTTAACATATTTGATTTTTATTTCATTGCAGAACTTACTTTCATGTTAGAAGTAATTTTAACGTTAAATGACAATACATATATATATATATATATATATATATATATGTATATATATATATATATGTATATATATATAATATATATACTTTCACGAATTTCAAATTTTATTAAGAAATTTTTGTAAACTTTTTGGGTATGCATTTTTGTATCCTATTCAATTTTAGTATAATAATGTGGAAGTTTGAATTAAAAGTCAATGGTAGTAGGCTACACGTAAACTTGAATAGGTTGCAAAACTGCATACCCAAAAAGTTTCTAAAAATTCTGCCTTTTCGTGAACTTTGCGTAAAGTTTTATGGCCTTGTTTATAAAAAATAAAAAAGGTATATAAACTGAAGAATGTATGAAAATATCATTTTATTAAGCTCTTTAAACCTACTTTATTTTGTATGAATAAGGCCATTAAACTTTAACTTATTTGGTTTATGTTATGCAACCGACTACGCGCAATTTTAGTTTATTTTAAGTGATGGACAAATTTGAATGATAGTAATCCATATAAGGAAAGAAAATTGGGTTGCCAATGGAAGAAGAAATTTAAAAAGTGTGTTTTTTAATAAGTATTCGATACTACGAGTACTTTGCAAAGTATCGAGTAAAATTACCAAATAAGGTATCGAGTATTAAGGTACTCATTTTTATACCCCCAGTATCGATACTTACTCAATATCGATAGTATCGTTCGAACCCTAGCTGTTTTGCTGAGTACACACATACAGATACAAAAATATTGTGCTTGTATTGGGAGCAGTGTTGCCATTTTAGCCGTTTTCCGGCTAGATTTAGCCGGTTGCGATAGCAAACAGCCGGAGAAATTTCGATTTAGCCGGCAGCCGTTTTGCAGAAAAAAATAGCCGATTTTGCTATTTGCCTTGTTTTCTTAAATTTCAAATATGTATAAATGTTTCCATTTTTGACTAAGCGACCCAAAATCTGTTAGAAATGGCTACTAGCCTTATCGTGGAGAAAATTTTCATGTCAGGCAGGGTTGTATGAAATTGGGCCAATTTCGCTTATTTTTATTTTAAACGAAGAAGGGATTTTCTTCATAAAATGTTTGTTATAAATGTCCTAATTTTAAGTGTGAAGTTTTATTCGCAAACTTAGAAAATAAGAAATTGTTTCACTGTTAAGACACTTAAGATGGGTTTGTGTTTGGATATAATGCCAACAAACAGAATAAATATTACATGTAGATATTGTCTTCCCAGATAGCGCATATTCAATTCTAAATTACAAAACATCATTTTTGCCCACTCCCAAAGGTTTATGGTAAGGGAAAAATTGATATTTTCAAGCACTATGTACCCATATGTATTTTTTTAAACAAACTTTTTTGCTGAGAACTTATTTAAATTCCAAAAACCGAATGCCAACTTGAATTAAAGGAACCAACACTGAAGTGAGTCAAAATGAAAATAAAAGAGCACAAATTTTTATGTAAAGCAAAACTCTCTGGGAATCCTACGAGACATCTGCCGGTCATATGACCGGCCATCCAAATGGGAGATCTGCAGTCTTTTGGCATCATATTTTACGTCAGAATTGAATGGATTTCTGAGAAATCTGACCAGTTCTTTTGTGTAACTGTGATTTTGCATCCCTTGTCAACATATGGTCTCGGTTGATGTTAACTTAAGGTCGTTGTTTTACTGCCTTAAAATTGAAGGGAAATTTTTACAGCGTTTTTTATGTGTATTGGTTTCTATTTGAGTGTATTGAGAATCGGTCAGTCTGAAAAGGCCTAGTAGGGAAGACAATAGGTTTGTTCGTCGAAAATCTGGCGGGAATTATCACTCAAAATATCAGATAGTAAGAAAAAATGCTCCCAAATTCTCTCTCATGTAGAGAAACTTGCAATTTTCTGTACAAACGCAAATTTGCAAGTTTTTCTGCCAGCTAGTTTCCACAGTTGCATTTCAAACAAAAGAAATTTGTAAAGAATTTTTAAAATTCTTTCAGAGGGTCAAAAAACAGGATCTACGTGTATATATATTGTCAGTCCGACTTTCTTCATCATACGATTCAATTTCTTTTTCGGGTTTACTATATCGACTCTGGTTGAGATTGCATTCCGATTAAGAATACAGTTTTTTTTGCCCAGTACCTTTCATATCATTGGAATTAACTAAATTAATTATGTAAACAAGTATTAACTTACATTTTTCATTTTAAAATCGCTCCAGTTTGTAAATTTTTAAATTTCACGAACTTGTTTATTCAAATTATCGTCGACAAAAGATCCAACCATGTGCCACAATCATATGTTTTTCCCAATTGCAAATTATTGCTGGCAAAATTTTTTCTGGCTCGAATTTGTAACTTCTCTCCAAGAAATAGTCTTTTTACTCGTGATTTATTTAAATAAAACATGTGAAATTTAGTTGAAACATCTTAGCCGGTTTTAGCCGGTTTTTTTTGCCAATTTAGCCGGTTCGTCCAAAAAGTTCTGGCAACACTGATTGGGAGCTCTGCCAACGTTGTGCACCACTGATTTGGATGCGTGCTAATTTTGACAATTAACACAAAATTAAAATAAATGTTTTTGTTTTCGAGCAGAAAGACTAATAAAAGGAAACGCGGAAATTAAGAATAATAAGTTTTATGAGAAAAAAGTAATTAATATTTTTTAAGAAAAATTAGAAAAATACTAGCGATGCATCCAGTTTTACCAATAGACCGTTGACAAATAATATTCGATAGTTACATAATTTTTACCTAATTAAAGGTAATCTTTTAACACGCAAATCGTCGACTCTTATAGTCAGCCGTTGAACATTATTAATTAAAATTACGAAAGAGGGTCGACGTAGGGGACACTCTTAACATAGCATCCCCACAGGCAACAAAATTTTAGCTACATTTTTTTCTTTTCCAGATATACGTTTTATCAGTGCACTTGCACAATATTCGATTCGCAAAAGCTCCGCTTTGATTATTGCCACTGAGCAAAAATGCATGAGTAAAAAAGGCGAGTGCAGCACCATGCTCGTGATAGAAGTGAAACTTCTTAAAAAAACACATGTGTGCAGCGAAGAGAAGTTGCTCCTTATTATCATTTTTCACTTTTAATATTTTTTTTTAGTTTTTAATTTTTTCTTTGGATATGAAGGATTGCTCATTCTTTGTCGCTTTATGGCCTTATTCATAAAAAATAAAGCAGCTTTAAAAAAGGTTTACAAACTGAAATATTTATGAAAACGCCACTTTGTAAAGTTCTTTAAACCTACTTTATTTTTTATGAATAAAGCCATTACCAAAATGTATTCAACAAAGTGTGATTGATTTTGGCATTGCTCTCATAACAACCAGGCTATAATGTCAAACTGAAATGAATTCTTAACCCATTTGAATTTTTTTTTTTCAAATTTGAATTTGTTTAAAAAAGAAGTTACACACACATTTTTCAAGCAACAAATTTTCTTAATAAACGTGAAATTGTCAAGAGATAAACCGCCGAGGAGAGCAAGTACATTTAAAGTTGGGAAATAAGTAAATACGTTCGACTTTTCTTAAATATTTAATGTAAGGAAACCAAGATGAAACGGAGCAAAACGTTTGAACGGTGCGCTGTATGCAATAAAAGTCAGGACACGAAAATAGTGCGGATGTTTTAAACCACCTAGTTGCGAATTAAGACGGCAGCGATGGGAAGAAAGCTGTGGTGTTGTACTACGTGATTCATCTCGCGTTTGTGAAAACCACTTCAAGGAAAGTGCTTTCATTAGTTGTCCGTCCGAATCAAGCACTTTCAAACGAGATCGTTTATACCCAGGCGCAGTCCCAATGCCATACGAAATAACTGAAACAAGTGAGGATTTAGAACGCGATCAGGATACATTATTTGTTGATGTCCAAACTCAAACAGGGGACTGTTTAGAATGCGCGTTGAGAACCGAAATATTTCTTCTTACCGAAATAATTAAAACCATGCAAGCAAGTATGGAAGAGCTTAATTTAAAACTGCTCGAAGCAAACTCTTTAATGAAAAACTATTTCGCATGAAAAAATTTAATTTCGAAATTGTTAGAGTTAAGCTCACATGTAAAAGTGGAAACAAATGTAAAATCCTACTTTTATAAGTGTCGAAAAATGTTTAGGATAAAAAATTTAAATATAAAAATAAACGCACAAAAGCATAAAACTTGGGCAATTAAAAACAAGAAAATTGCTAAAACTATTTTATAAACAATTTGTTTTATTTTATTGACAAAATATATATATTCCAGGTAATGTAAGTAAAACAAAACTATAATCGAAATAAAAGCTTAGGGCATCAGTGCTGACAAGATACATGCAAAACTAAGGGTTAATTCGTTTGTTTATACTTTTTGACATAATAGTACCTTAAAAGAGAGTCGCACTGAATTGTCAATCACACCTTGGTTAATACACCTTGGTCATTACTATTCTGTATTCGAAAAATTAAATGTTTCAATGGAATTGCATTCAATGTTAAATATTTGATTTAGATAGCGTTTTTAGCAATTTATTTGAGAAAAATAAAACATTTATATTTTTGTTTTGATTTTCGTTGATTTTAAATTTGCTATCCAAAAATAATTGATATCTAGGGATAAAACAATACTAGTAAATACAAGTACATACTCGATACTTTTCGTCCGATACCAAGTAATTTTGCTAACTCCACTTTTTGTGAAAACTCATATTTGGATATATCAAGCAAGGTAAATTAAAAATGCAACGCTTCAAGTTTATATTCAACTAGCTGACCCGGCGAACCTCGTACCGCCTCAGAATCAATAAATGTTAAAGTAACTTAGTAGGTGAATAAACAGTTTTTTTTAACGGTAAAATGAAAAAGAACTCACAATGAATTAAGTTTAATAAATCTGCAAAAAACCATAATTGGTGGATAGGTTGGTTGCACTCTAGTCGATTTATTTAATCACATTATTATACACGACATTTTTCGTTTTGTTGTCAGGTGCGAAAACGAACAAAGCGGATGGTTTTCCGACACGTGAACATGCCACGTAAAGTTGACCGTGAGAGAAACATTCATTTTCAAGATTCAGGCCACAAACACTCAAAGATTGACCTTGTGATTTGTTGATCGTCATGGCGAATGCAAGACGAATCGGAAATTGAATTCGTTTAAACTCGAATGGTATATCGGTTGGGATCATCGGAATTCTCGGAATGAGAACTTCCTCACTTTCGAACTTTCCTTTAAGTATCGTCGCATGAATAACATTGTCCATGAGTTTTCTCACCAACAAACGCGTTCCGTTACATAGTCTTGGTTGGTTAAGATTTCGAATCATGACAATTACGGAGCCAACCTTCAGTTGTAAATTGTGCGGTGGTAAGCCAGGCAGATCCAATGAGTTTAAGAATTCAGTTGGATAGTTGGTTGCTTCGTCTTCATTTGTTACACAGTCTATAGATTTGAAGGAATGAAGTGGACCAATGATTTGATTTTGAATTGTAATATTTAAGTGGTCTAAAGGGTGAACACACCAAAAATGCGACACTTAGAAATTACTACCAGAAACAAACTAGAAGGCCTTGAAATTATTTTTTTTTTGTATTATATAATTTGGAAGTTTAGATGTTATTAAAATGTTAAAATATTAGATATTATTTGCTCCATATGCAAGTGATCGGTATTTTCATCGCACACGCGCCATCATGTTCTGCACGACTGCATCATCGACATTACGCGATGCGCACAACTACTTTGTTTTGCACTCTTCAATAATTTTCACTCTTTCACCTGTTTTCTTCAAGATTCCTTTGACAATTGACCAATATTCCCCAATAGGACGTGGCTCTGGGCTATTGGGTGGATTGAAGTCGTGAGGTAGAAAATTGATGTTATTTGCATTATACCACGGCAATGTGGCATAGTGGCAGGTCGCCATGTCCGCCTAGAACGATGTCCTACTCCTTATCTGTTGATAAATGACAGAAGACGCCTTTTGAGGCACTCATCCCGATAAACTTGATCATTCATTGTCCCGGATGCGAAAAAAGGGCTGCTCTTACGGCCGCAGGAACAAATAGCTTGCCAAACCATGTGGTTTTTGGAAATTTGGACTTCATTTTCAGCTTACAACTTTCAGGGGCATCTTGACGACTTGCAGCAGTATAAAAATCTTGACCTGCAATATATTTCGAATTTTTATAGCAGTAGGTCTCGCAGTCCATAACAATGCAGTTGTATTTTTTAATTTAGAATTCATACAACTTCCGAATGCGGGATTTCGCTGTAACATTCTACTTTGTGCCTCGGCCTGGCGCTGTTTGAGCTGTAGAACATCTCAATGAAGCTTTCCGCTTTACCTTTTGTACGAAAAACTGCGATCTCCGTACGGATTTTGCAACATAACGCGACAAAATCTTCGGATCTCGCGAAAACGCACTGAGGACCTTCCGAGCACTGTTTTTATCACTTTGACCATGCTAACCCCCGCTCCCTGGTTTTCTCGTAACTATCAGGCCTTATTTGTACCGATTAAAACCCTGCAAACTGTCGAATAGTGCACTCTGTAATTTTTTAGCAATTTTACGTGTACTTAAGGCCGGATCATTTATAAACTCGTGCAAAATGGTTTGTCTCCTTTCTAGCTCGGTTGCCATTTTTAACTGAACCAGGAATCAAATTCAAATGAAATTTCTTCTACGTTCAACTAAGGTCATGGTCAACTTATGGTATTTCAATTTCAAAATATTGAATTCGTTTTGGGTAAGCTTCCCAAAGTGTCGCAGTTTTGGTGTGTTCGCCCTTTACATCTTTGTTCTTTGCCGCAAGAATTGCTCGTTCACTCAACCAATTGTGATATTTGTGGTTAGCAATTATATTCGGGAACACTTTGTTGATGAGCTCGTCCGTTGTTGAAACGAAATTACAAAAATTCAGTGGAAAGGAAATCAATCCGTTTGATTTGTCGACAGGAACACGGCCATTACCGATAGTCAGCAATTGTTTAGAGAAAGATTCGGCGGATGGATCATTTAGCAATGCAACTCGCATATTTGTTGTCAGCTGAATGACTGGTAATGTTTGGCGAAAGTCACCAGACAGTAGAATCATTGCGCCAAAAAAAACATTTTGAGTCATTGCGCAGATCTTTCAAAGTGCGATTAAGTGCTTCCAATGCGCGTTTGTGCGCCATTGTACATTCATCCCAGATGATGATTTTACTTTCTACCAAAACTTTGGCCATGGCTGAGTGTTTCGCAATGTTGCACGTCGGGTTTTCAGTCGTTTGAAGGTTCAAAGGCAACTTCAACGCGGAATGAGCCGTTCGGCATCCTTCTAGCAACGTGGCTGCTATCCCAGAAGAAGCAACTGCTATTGCAATTTCCGATCTCGCACGAACAGTGGCCAAAATCAATGACATGAGGAATGTTTTCCCAGTTCCACCGGGCGCATCGAGGAAAAATAAACCACCGTTTCTATCATCAATCGCCTTCATTAAGGTATTGTACACTACCTTCTGTTGGGTGTTCAACAGTGGTAAATTTGTCCGAACTGATTGGTTCAATGCATTGCGATCATATTCACGTTCACGTTCCAATACTCGATTGAATGCTTCATTCAATTCGCGATGTGGTGTTGGCATTCCTAACTTGACTAACAAACTGTCACACATGAGGTAACATATGTCTTCAATTAAAATTAAAGCCTGGTTATGTATCTCTTCATTCACCTCGAGTTCGGGATTGCCTGAACTGATACGAATTCTGTGTAAAATGTCTTCTGACATGTCAGCCTTGTACTTGTTCCACAGTTCACGTGGATTCGATGGGAAGCATGTCGAAATAATGATAGCAAATAATAGGGGTATTCACGATCCGGTGCATACTGTCTAGCATGGTGCATAGATAGCATAAATAGCATGATTGGCTACTTTTGTTGTTGTTTGAACACATGAAACAACAACAAAATTATACAATCATGCTATTTATGCTATCTATGCACCGTATGCACCGGATGGTGAATACCCCTAATGTGCGTATCTGATTTGGAGATGCAGAAATAAGTGCCTCAGCGATTGTCGTATCCCAATGAGTATCGTTTTCAAGCAAACTGAGCTTTTGACATGCAGCACGAAATGTTGGGCACACTAAACCATTGACAGTTCGAAGTGATTGAAATGATGTCGGCCCACGAACATTTACCAGCAACAACCGCAAGGAGAAGCATTCATCATTCTTCGGATGAACTGTGTAAAGGCGACCAAGAGAACAAGTTGAGCGCACATCCGGATGACCAGGAACCCCGTCGCCTTGCTTCCGACGTTGAAATTTCTTCGATGAAGCGTTCCAAGTGTAATAACTTGGCACCTCGGAGTAGAGCAACGACTGTGCAAACGGATCACTCTGGCAAATCGAAAAGAAACTGGTTAATGTTGTCATTGGAGGTGTTTCAGCACGTTGAGCAACATTTGATGCATTGAAATACACTCGTTGACCATCCTCTAAATGCACCGCCAAATGTACAACGGTGGGATGACGCTCATGAATGGGAAATGAGAATATACGCCAAATTGCCTCATTGCAGCTCACATATCGACCAACTTGATAGTGCGTGATTTCATCGTCTGTGTTGATATTTTGTACGCCAAAAACCGCCATATCGCTACCTTTCGTGACATATTTGCAGATGTATTTGATTGACTTCACGGAGTTCCAAGACTCCACGTTGCAATGTGCCTTGAATGTTTTAGAAAGAAGGGGCGAATACGGAACAATCCAAGTATTGTCGACCTCAAAATCATTTCCCTTCACTTTCAACCGTTATCTTCGGGTGATCGACGCCGATACAGTGGGTAGCCATCGTTGCCAGTGATAGTCTCCGCTGTCAAATTTCGCGGATAACGTTTAGAACACTTTCCGTCGACCATGCACGGGGATTGGGGGTTGATGACCCCACACGGTCCGTGAATAATGTTTGTAATTACAACATCATGCAGGTCTGGATCGGTTTCGGGATCAGGAATCTCGGCACATATGATGTCATCTATTTTGTCCGGACGAATTCTTTCCACTAACCAAATAAGAATGTGTGCATGCGGCAAGCCTCGTTTTTGCCATTCTATCGAATACATCCAGCATCGAGTATCCCCAAATACGCGTTGCTTAATAATGTAGTTCATCAGCAACCGGAGTTTTTGTCTGAAGACACGTGCGGTGAGGTCGTGACGATCACTTGATGTCTGTCCAGGGAGAAGCAGTTTACGAATTTCTGTCTATTTCGGATTGCACGTAAATGTTATAAATAGGTCCGGACGACCGTAACAACGAACATATGTCATTGCATCTTGCGCATATTCATGCATATGACGTGGGCTGCCAACATACGTTGCCGGTAGAATAGTTAATCGACCAACGTTTGTTGCATCTCCTTCGGTTCTGATTGCATCGCGTAAATGAATGTACTCCTCCGATCGCAGTTTGGCTTGGTTCAACCGAATGAAAGTTAGGCGTTCTGTTTCGATTTTCACATACATGTCGACGCAATATTGCTGGAACAATCTACGAAATCGCAGCAAATAGTTGTCAGCATTTTGACGAATCATCAAACGATACGCGTAATAATTCATGGAGCTAACCTTCTTGGTATTTTCCTCGCCTTTGTTGAAATCATTGAAATTAGTGTCATGTTGAAAAGAAAATTTTGATATTGATACTCACCGGTCAATGGATTTATCATGTTGATATTGAAGTAATATCCATCGTTTCCTTGCCAAAACATCAGCGGGTATTGCAATGTGTCGTATGAACGGTGAGTTTCGTACATTCTTTGCAGTTGTCCAGTGTCATGACGTGTAAGCACAATATCACGTGTTTCCAAGTTTTCACCAACAATCGCAATTGCGACTTCATCTATTGTTGGAGCGTTGAATTGGCGTTCGTGTGTTCCGACGGGTCGTTTATCCGCTTTGATCATGACTTTATGGTCATCACTTGGCATGCGATCCAATGCAGTTTTGAACAATAGAACCAATGCGTGATGTTCAAGGAGGAGTTGCTGTAGTTCTTGAAGAATTGCTCTTTTTGTTGCCGTATTGATGGTTTGACGCCGATCAAGTTGGTCCTCCATATTGCCCATAAAGTAAATTTGGCCTTGGATCTGTATAGACAAAGGCGAAGTCAGAATTGCAGATTTATGACCATCAAAAGAAAATTAATATTTATTCGATCGAGCAGAAACTACCTTGAATGTGTGTGTCGCCACGAAGCAGCGAATGCAATGGCTCAGGTGGCGGAGACAGCAATGGCAACATCACCTTTCCACTGAGGCAGCACAATCCTGGCGTTTCTCCGGCGAACTTCAAAGTACCGCAATGAACGCACACAACATCCATGGAGTCAAGTTTAACAGAAGGATGCGAGCTGTAGTCAATTGTGCAATCGTATTGAAACGCTACTCGATTCAAATCAACACTTGAATAACTTCTTGCGCCTCGAATATAATCACGTTGTTGATCTGTATTATAAGCTCGACGATTTCTTATTGCTAAATGAGCAGTTTGACGTACTTCCTCTCTTCGTTCTTGTGTTTGTGAAGCACGAAGTCGGACCATACTAACGCGGCGCTGTTCTCGCGCGGTTTCTCGCTCATCTGCAGTGGTTTGATTGGCTATATTCCAAAGTCTAATTGCATTATGACTTCGTTGTGAAAGATTAGATCTTCTGCGTCGCGGCATTGTAAATAACACTTGAAAACTAACCACATTATTCACAATTACTTAATTAAGAAATTATCTATAAGCGCACAAAAACAAATGTAATAACCTCACAAAGTGAACGCCTTTGGAGGCAACTTACCGTTTGAAAATCGCAATCGAAAATAATTTCCCCAGAAATCGTGGAAAACCAAACACACCAAAATTATCGATCGGATTGATTGCGCGCACAATGACACCTTTGAAATCACTTTTCGCTGAATAACTTCAGAAAAAATTGTTTGAAACGAATTAATTGAATCGAAATCAAATGCAATAACCGTCGAACACTGAATTAAAATTGGCGAAAACTCGGAAAAAAATGTTGGCATCTATCTCAATGGTATGTAATGGCAACTGAATAACTGCCTACTTATTTGACAATTGATACAAAATTTCACAAACTTTCCTCTTCAAACTTTTAAATTTCACGCTCACTTTCTTATTAACGATTTTTAATTACAAATACATATGTAACTCAATTTCAGCGCCACCTGGCAGCAAATTTTTTTCGAAAGAATTCTTTTTCTTGTTAACAATACATATTTTGAATCTAAGCATAATCGGACCATAAACACGATTTTTAGTAATAACTCGACTCCAATGCCACCTGGCGGCTTTTTTTTTGAAATGGTATTGTTTTTTCTATTGTCAATACATATCTCGAATATGAGGCCAATCGGACCATAAATACGGGTTTTACTAATAACTCGACTCCAGCGCTACCTGGCGGCTCTTTTGTTGCAATCGTATTGTTTTTCCTATTGTCAATACATATCCCAAATATGAGGCCAATCGGACCATAAATACGGGTTTTACTAATAACTCGACTCCAGCGCCACCTAGCGGTTGTTTTAATAGTTATTCTTCTATTCGGAAGGTAGACAAATTCAAAAACCAAATATCATAAAAATCAGTCCAGCCGTTCTTGAGTTATAAATGGTGTAACTAACACGACTTTGTTTTATATATATAGATTAAAGGCAATTTCCAAAAGAGGCACAGAAAAAACGATAAGCTCACAAAAAATTCTAAATCTTTTAATTTGCAACGGATCCTTCTGCAAAACTCTTGAAGGAAATGTTTTGAAAAGTTTTTTTCCTCCCCTATAAATTTTCAACAAATGGACTTAGCAGCTTTTCACTCTAAAAATTATCAACATGATTACTTCTTTCAGAAATATACCATTGTTACTTTGCAGAACTGCTGTTGAACAGTGTTAGAATACAGATGACTTTTATTAATTAATTCATTTGTATGAAATAAATTATAAAATAATTGTTTTTGATCTCAATTGCTTTCTCTTTGTACAAAATAACAAATAAAATACGTACATACTAGAGGGCTGCATGAATCCATTCTAAACGGCAAATGAATCATTCATATTGAAATTAAATGAATGTGATTGGGTTTGAATTTTATTGAATTTAAATGAATAGCTTTGCTGATATGATTGTCGACATTACAATATTCAAACGATGTGAAAACAAATTGAGTGAATATGATGGAATTTTTTTATTTTTATAAATCTAAATACCTACATTTCCTTGTATTTATTGAACTTTTCTTATACATATTTTGTACTTGTATGCGCCATAAAAGAGAGTCATTAGATAAGAATAGAATTGGTTTCAACATATAGTATATTTATATTTCTATATTTGAATGCAGAAGCATTATTTAATTTACATTGTCTGGGTTAAGAGCAATAGTACAACGTTTTTCGGTTATTAAATTTCTTGCATCTGAAAAGGCTCTTTCAGAAGCCGCGCTACTTGCGGGTATACAGAAAATTTTGCAGCTCGTTTTGTATAAAATTGGAAAAAAATTTTTGTTCAGATACCACCATTTAAGGCAGTCGAAGTCAGCAGTGAACGTTACATTTAGGTTTGAATAACTTTGAATCTCCTGATCCACAGTATGGGTATTTATAATATAGCATTTATGTCTTACAATATTTGACGTGCACCCCGTAAATTTGTAAATGCTGTAGCATCTTTTACATGCTACAATATCGGGCAACTCTTCGCCAGAGTTATTTTTAACATTGGAAAATATCTCCCAAACTTTGCTACGACCTCTTTTTTGACTCAGTGTGTATTCTCCACTGTGGAGCTTCTTCTTGATGCCGGCACTTTGCAATAATGCGCTTGCGGAGTTCTGTTATTATAAACATATACCATTATCATTATTAAATGGACTGAAATGTAGATTCACTATACATACATACGTACATCATTTTAAGCTAAACGTACTTACATTTTCCTCTACACTTTCCATTCTTTTTTTCGTTTTCGATGCTAAACACAAAATATCACATAAATTGTAATAAATTTGAGTCTGAATAAATTTAAGGTTTTTCATTCATTCATTTATATAATTCTATATGAAGTTAGAAAACTTGAAACGCAATGAATATTCATAAAATACAAAATTCAAAACGTTGGGTGTTTTGAACTTGAAATAGAATACACAATTCTACTGTACTCTCTTTGGCTTGAAATTAGAATCGACTCATGCAGAGGTCTAGTACATACATACAAACGAAGACAATTCTGTTAACAAAATTCTGGGGACTTTTTAAAAACAACGTATTGGACTTTGTCTTTTTTCTTGTTTTCTGGGAGGCCATCCTAGTAAACCATGTTTTAAAACTTAAAGTTGTTCTTAAAAAGATTAAGTAGCATTCGCCTAAAATCAAAAATTATAGTCACATAAATTATTTTGACAAAATTTCATACATATGTGATGGCGTGTTTTATACAAACAATTCTTATATAGGTACAAATATCGATATAAGTAGGTATCGATACTTTTAGCCCGATACTTACTAGGCATTGATACTTTCTTTCGATGCTACTTCCAAGTACACGTATCGATACTTCCATGGTATCGTTTTATCCCTAT